ATTATTCAAATCCGGAATATAGTTCAAAACAATGCGCACAACAATTAAATCTGGATTATCAACAATTAAATTCATGTGCAAATGGACAAAAAGGTTTACAATTGATAAGAGAAATGGCCAATAAAACACCCAGCCATCAATATGTACCATGGACAACTGTTCAAGGACGTTTTGTTGATGGTAATGTTGATCTTGTTGATTATATTTGTCAAAATTATTTGAATGATGTTCCAGCTTGTAATTAACATTACAAATCAGTTAATTAAATTAAATGAATGATTTTATTTTTTGAATTTCTAAAAAAAAAATTTTTTAATAAATTGAATTTTAAAAGTTAAAAAGTTTCAATATTCAATAAGTAACAGTTTTTGTTTTATGATTGATTTTGATTTGAATTATTTTGTTGCTTGTTTGTCCGGATGATGTGTTTTTAATGATTGAAAAAAAAACTTTGGTCGATTGATTGATTGATTGATTTCGATGCGATCGATGATTGTATTCAAGGCTTGATCGGTTTACTGAAACTATTTTCAGTCTAATTTCATTTGTCAAAAGTCAACAACGAAACGAACGAAATCAGAAAATGAAATTGATTTTTATCATCACCACCATCATCATCTGATTATCAAATGTATTTTAGTTTTTTTTTTTTTTTCATTTGGGCATGATTGTATCCTGATCCAATTGATTGATTGATTGTTTTTAATTTTTATCAATAAAATTAAAGTACAAATTCCTTGTGCCTAGATATTTAGATTAACTAATTTAACTAATTTAGTTAATCTAATTAATTTAATCAATCAATCAAATGAGGTCATCAAATATCAGTAGGTATTAATCCGTATTGATTGTCAGGTGTTTATTTTTATCTTTGTTTGAAAAGTATCGTGACAATTTTATCATTGACTGTTTTGGAGTGGCAAAACGATAATATCTCTGGCTCGTTTCATTTTCTGGCTATAAAATGATGAAAAACAGCCAACAAATTCTTTCATCGCTCATCCAAAATCTTCTTTTTTTACCTGTAACGAAAATCATCCGAAAAAAAATGAAATCAATCTTTGTTGCTTTATCATTATTATTGATTGTTTCGACAATCGAATGCACCCAGGTAATTNTTTTTTTGTCATTCAAATACCTTTATTACCACTATAGTGTGCACCAAAAGTTGGAATAGATTTTCAAAAAATCGATACCTGTGCTAAAGGTGAACATGGTTATCAATTAGCATTAAAATTGGGTAAAAAAACTAATGCCGTACATAGAAAATATGTTCCATGGATTATGGTTGAAGGTAAAAAATATGATCCTAGAAATAGAAATTTAAAGGGTTATATTTGTAAAAATTATTTGGCCGATGAAAATATTCCGGCTTGTAAAACAAATGTGTAATTTTTTTGAATGATACAAAAATCAAAACAAAAATCAATTTTTGTTTCCAAAAACAAGCAAAATGAATAAGTCAAAATAAAGATTTTTATGATTTTAAAAAACTTGAATTGTGTTTGTTTTGTTTTGTCTTTTGAGTTCCTAAATCAAGGGCATATTTTTTATCAAAGAAGATTTCATCACCATCATCTGATTATCAAATGTATTTTATTTTTTTCATTTGGGCATGATTGTATCCTGATTCAATTGATCAGTGTAATTTTATCGATAAAAGTACAAATTCCAAAGTGCCAATTAAGACAATAGATATTTAGATTAACTAATTTAGTTAATCTAATTAATCAATCAAATTAGGTCATCATCAATGATCAATATATTAATCCGCATTGATTGACAGGTGTTTATCTTTACGTGACAATTTTGGAGTGGCCAAACTCAAATCTTTGGCTCGTTTCATTTTCTTTTGGCTATAAAATGATACAAAACAACCAAAATCGCTCATTCAAAATCTTCTTTTTGTTTTACCTGTAACGAAAATCAAAAAATCCGAAAAAATGAAATCAATCTTTGTTGCTTTATCATTATTATTGATTGTTTCGACAATCGAATGTACCCAGGTAATTTTTATTGATTTTTCAAACTGACAACTTTTCTTAATTTACCCTTTTTTTCTCATCTTTTTATAGCGTGTAACAGTCGGTGTTTATTATGAAACAATTTGCCCTGGTTGTCGTAGTCATTTTATTCAAGCAATCGTACCATTAAAAAATCAATTAGGACAATATGTTAATATCGATCTTGTACCATTTGGTAATGCACATTTCTATTCAAATGGACCACAATGTCAACATGGACAATTAGAATGTTATGGTAATGCATTTCAAGCTTGTTCATTAGATATGAATGGTTTTGAAACAGCATTCAAATTAGTTGAATGTATGTTTCGCTCCAATTATTTTTCAAATCCTGAATATAGTTCAAAACAATGTTCACAACAATTAAATTTGGATTATCAACAATTGGATTCATGTGCAAATGGACAAAAAGGTTTACAATTGATAAGAGAAATGGCAAATAAAACACCTAGCCATCAATATGTACCATGGACAACTGTTCAAGGACGTTTTGTTGATGGTAATGTTGATCTTGTTGATTATATTTGCGAAAATTATTTGAATGGTGTTCCAGCTTGTAATTAAAATTGCAAATTTTAAAAATCAGTTAATTTAAAGAATGATTTTATTTTTTTTGAATATTTTAAAAAATTTTTAATAAATTGAATTTTTTTTTAATAAAAAAAAGAGTTAAAAGTTTCAATATTCAATAGTAACAGTTTTTGTTTTCAAATATTCATTCAATGCTTCACGACCAAGATCTTTACCAAAACCGGATTGTTTAAAACCACCGAACGGTGCTGCTACATCGGTTTTATTATAACAATTTATAAAACAAGTACCGGCACAAATTTTTTCGCTAACCAACATTGCTTTGGATAGGTCTTTGGTAAAAACACCTGATGCCAAACCAAATTCAGTATTGTTTGCACGTCTGATTACTTCTTCAACATCTTCTTGATTCTGGATATCATCAAACATTGATATAATCATAATTGGACCGAATGATTCTTCTTTAGCAATGTACATATGATCTTCAACCTGGGTAAATATGGTTGGTTCAAAAAACAATCCTGGTCTTGGCGCTTGCCGACCACCATAGATTAATTTTGCACCTTCTTTAACACCGATTTCCGAATATTCGATTAATTTTTCTAAATGTGCACGATGATTTTGTGGACCATGATCAGTCGATCGATCTAATGGATCTCCGATTTTCATTTTTTTCACTTCTTCCACTACACGCCGGACAAATTCATCATGAATCGATTGTTCAACGAATAATCGTCCAGCAGCAATACAATTTTCACCTGCAAAAACAAAAATATGAAAAAAATCAATCGATCAATCAAACAATAACAAACTAACCTTTGTTGAAAAAAACAGCCGACATTGAATGACGAACAGCACGATCCAAATCACAATCACGAAATATAATTAATGGTGATTTACCACCCAATTCCAATGAGCATTTTTTCAAATTTGATTCAGCACATGATTTCATAATAAGTTTACCGATTGGTGTTGAACCGGTAAAACCTAATTTCCGAATTAATGGATGATCGATTATTGCTTGGCCGGTAACCGAACCCGAACCAGGTAGAATATTAATAACACCGGGTGGAAAACCGGCACGAACAGAAAGTTCAGCTAATTTTAGTGCAGTCAATGGTGATACTTGTGCCGGTTTCAGTACAACCGTATTACCAGCAGCTAAACAAGCAGCCATTTTCCATGATACCATCATTAATGGATAATTCCATGGTGTTATTATACCACAAACACCAATTGGTTCTTTTCTCGTAAATGTTAGATTACGATTTGGTCGTGCATTATTAATCGGTATTGTTTCACCTTGTATTTTATCACACCAACCAGCAAAATAACGAAATGTATCAATAGACATACCAACATGTGTTTTAATAGCCAATGTATAAACAGCACCCGAATCAATTGATTCTAATGTAGCTAAATCTTCTTTATTCTGTTCCATAAGATCAGCTAAACGATATAGTAATCGTCCACGATCACGTGCATTCATTTGTGACCATTCACCATAATCAAATGCTTCCTGTGCAGCCATCACTGCTCGATCAACATCTTCACGTGTTGCATTCTGTACTTCACAAATGATTGTTTCATCTGTTGGATTTATTGTTTTCAATGTTTTCCCTGGATTTGATGAATCCACGAATTCATTTTGTATAAATAATTGATTTGGAAATAATAATTTTCGTTTATTAACAATCATTTCGATTGGTTTATAATCGATTTTAGATTGATCATCATCTTGGCCACCACCACGTAATTTACCAATAATCATTGAATAAAATTCATCAAAATTTGAATTCATATAAACATGTTCATTGGATAATGAAAGCTGTATACATTGATCTAATTCAATAATCGATTCAACTAAACGTGTTACATCCATTGAACCGGCACCAAGTTTAAAAAAATTACTTGAATCATCAATATCAGTGTTTAATATGGATTTCCAAATCGAACGAATCAATTCGATTAATTCTGTTTCCATTTCGGTCAAATCGCCAAGATCAGATGATTCATCTTGTTTACCAAATTTACAAGCTTGTATCATTTTTCCATTTTCTAGTCCAATTTTTGTAACATTAACCATTTGGCCATCTTTTCCTTGTAAAATTAAACCATCTTTATGTAGTAAGGCTTTTGATTGACAATCTATATTTTGGAATGGGAAAATGTGAAAAAATTAAGAATTCATCAACAAAATACCAATCAAAGTTTCATACTATCAATGTTAATTTCTTCAACTTTAGTCGGTACAGGTCTTCGCCATCGTTTTGAACCAAATAATTTAACCGTTTGTCCATCGATACGTATCCAAGCACCTGGTACTGTATCACAACCACGAATAAAATTATGCAGTTGTTTTCCGGATAATTCATCCAATTTAAGTTCGGTTAATTCTTTTTTATTCAACATTGGATCATAACTAGCATCATCTTCGGATTGAATCAGTCGTGGTGCTTGGCCTTGTTCGATAAGATTAACAGCTTCAAGCATTGAACGAACACCTTCGGGAAATAGAAAACGCATATACAAAGTATCGATTGTTTCATTTGGATCGATATCGATACTTTTTTGTAATAAAATTGGACCAGTATCAAGACCATCATCACACCAGAAAATGGAAAAACCACCTGAGCAAATAAAAAAACTGAGCAATCTTCCCGGAAAACCAAAAATCCAAATTTACCTTTACTATCACCATTGATTAATGTCCAATTTATGGATGATGCACCACGATGTTTTGGTAATAATGATGGATGATAACAGATTGATTGATATTTTGGATAAAGTATAACATCCATTGGTATAAATTGTGAACAATATGCTAAAACATTCAGATCGGCACCAACCGATTTATATTGGTCAAATACATCGGGTAATATTTTTCCTTTTAAACGCCAACGTTGAAATTTAAATACAGGAACATTATCCATACGAGCTACCGTTGCAACCGGATCTTCACGTCCATTCGAATCATCCGGTATTGTAAATACACCAACAATTTGATGACCATTTTCTTTAAATAATTCATAACAAGAACTTGCAAATAATGATTGACCGATTAGTGCAAGTTTCATCTTTTTTTTTTGGTTTGCTTTGGTTTTTGTTGACAGAAAATCAATTCAAAATACGAAGGGAATTACAGCAGAAAAACTTGAGAAAAAAAAGGAAATTTTTGTTCAACTTTTAAAAAAATTGAAAATGTTTCCTATTTATACAAACAAATCGAAACTGAAACCAAAACCAAAAATCAATTATTGATCATGAACAGAAATGATGATAATCAATGTTTCAGAGATGAAATGAAAACAAAAAACAAAATAAAAATTTTCCTAGACAAAGTCGGATTTCAAACTGGCGAAGAAATAACAAATTTTTGTTGAAAACACGTTTAAACATCATGATTGAACATTTGATTCGATTGAAAGATAGTAATGTTGGGCACACTTATATAAATTACGATAATCGTAATTGATTTTTTTTAATAAAAACAAATTTTGAACCCAACAAAATAAGTGTTTATAAACATTTGTACGATAACTGTCGAAGTTATGTAAAAAGAAGAAGAAGAAAAAAAACAGGATTTAAAATCAAAATAGAAATTAAAAAAAATTCATCTTTTCCTAACGATAAGAACAAGATAGACGACAATATTTTCTGCTTTCTGTTTGTTTGGTAGCATATATTTTTGGCACTTTTTAAGTTTATCAACAATGATTATTTACTGAGTGTAAACAGCAGGATAATAAATTTATTTTTATTTTGTCGTTCAAGTTTTGAGATTGGAATTTATTTTCGAGGAAAGTTTCTCACAAATTTTTCTCGATTGACCAGAATTAAGTAATTCAGAGTGATAGAGAGAGAATCTGGAATGACAACTATCAAATTATATCAAGGACAGATTTATTGATTTTTTACATCATTTTTATCAAAGATTAAGACCGGTTTTAATTAAAAAAAAATTATCAAAATTTTTTATTTTTTCATAAAAATTCCATTATCCGTTTGACATTGGCGCCATCTTTTAGCCAAATTTTCGTAACAATTTTGTAAACAAAAAATTCTTTTTTGTTTTTGTTTCAAGAATGATTATTCTTTNAAAAACAAAATAAAAATTTTCCTAGACAAAGTCGGATTTCAAACTGGCGAAGAAATTACAAATTTTTTGTTGAAAACACGCTTGGACATCATGATGATTGAACATCTTGGAGAAAATTATTATCATTTATTTATTTTGATTTTTGATTGATTAAAAGAGATATGGTGGGCACACTTATTTTTCAATTTGATTTCCAGTATCCATTGCAGTTTTTTCTGCATTCGATTTAATCAGAAAAAAAAATTTTGTTTTTCTTTCGTGAACCCAATAAGTGATTATAAACATCTTTCGTTTTGTACGATAACTGTTATGTAAAAAAAACAGGATTTAAAAATTTTTTCATTTTTTCCAAAGTAACGATAAGAAAAGACAAGACGATAGACGATGACGACAATCTTTATATTTTCGAAATTTTGAAATTTGCGATAATTTTGCTTCTAAAAAAAGATTTTTTGCTTCAAAAAAAAAAATCAACTTTTCGTTCAAGTTTTGAGTTTGGAATTTATTTTCGAGGAAATTTTCTCACAAATTTTTCTCGATGATGATGACCAGAATTAAGTAATCCAGAGTGAGAGAATCTGGAATGACAACTATCAAATTATATCAAGGACAGATTTATTGATTTTTTACATCATTTTTTTCTTTGATCTTTTCGATCAAAGATTAAGACCGGTTTTAATTAAAAAAAAAATTATTTTTTTTTTCTTGGAAAAATTCCATTATCCATTTGACATTGGCGCCATCTTTTAGCCAAATTTTCGTTACAATTTATGTAAACAAAAACATCGAATCCAAGAATGATTATTCTTTGTTAATTAAGAAAGAAAATTTCAACTACAAAAAAAATGGTTTTGGATAAAACATCGGCAAAAAATTTGAAAAAAATCATTCATAATGGTATTGAACGTACACGTAAACAAAGAATATTCAATTTAATCGATGAAATTATTGAATGTTTACCATTTAAACATGAATTTTCAAATAAAAGTAAACGACAAAAATTAGAAAGAATTCATACGTATATTATTGATTTAAAGAATAAAAATGATGCACTTATGTTTGCTAATCCTAAATCTGTTTTGGGTATGTGTTTTTTGTTTTTTTCTCGAAAGAATATTCCAAAAACCTTAATGTTTTTCTGTTCTTTTCTTTTTCTACAGCTCAAGAAATTCAACAACTGCGTAAACATATTGATAATCTTGAACGAATGATTTTAAGTTATCAAAATCTACTCAAATCTGCTGGTATTTCATCGGAAAAATTATTAATTGATCCAACAATACCGGATCAATGGCAAAAAAGACCAATGAAATATTCACAAAATTCTCAACGGATAACAAAATCGAACAAACGTAATTCCGATGATGATATTGTTATTTCAGATGATGATGATGATGGCGATGATCAAACCGTGGATCAATCAACTGCCAATCGAAGTAATCAACATTCGAAAATCCTTTTGTCATCTACATCGACAAATCTTTCATCATCCCAATCATCATCGTTAATATCGCCAACATTCAATCTGTCCACATTGACGAATGGTTCGAATTCTTCGACGACCACTACTTTGCAACAACCGCAACAATTTGTTTTGATCAATGGTCCATCCGGTGGATTGCAAGCAATTCCAATTTGTAATATAACACCAGCGGTTACAAATCTAGCGGCAAGCGATGCGCCTGCTGCTGCTCAACCAGAAAATTCTTCACCAACAAAAACCAAACAAAAATCTGCTTCGAAACGTAAAATTTCATCGGACGATAATACGAATGGAAAGAAAAAAATTGATCAAAAATCAACAACAGCAAAAATTGTGAAAAATTTATCCAAAAGTAAAGAACAAACTGCTGTCGTACCGGCCAAATCCAAAGTAACTGCGTCGAAGAAATCAAAGAAAACAAACGCTGTTGCTGCCACTAATAAACCTAAAGTTGCCAAAACATCGAAACCATCATCTTCGACTCGATCTTCGAAAACAAAGAAAAAATTAACCACAACCATTGTTGAACAACCGCCAGAAAGTCAGCCAAAATCACCCAAACCATCGATTGATTCAGTGGAAAATGATAATATTCTGGAACCATTGAATGAAAATGATTCATGTCGAAAAAAATCCGATTCCGTAACAAAATTCATCAATAATAATAATAATGTCGCTGTTCAAAATTGTGATGAACGAATCGATGGTGATAATGATAAAAATAAACAAATCGATCTTATCGATAGTATGGATCCGGTTTCGAAAAAAGATTCCAATTCTACTGAGCAACAACAACAACAAAAACAAAAAGAAACTTCTGCCAATCAACAAAATTTGATTAATAATAATTTGCCTGAACCGATTAATAAAACAACAACAACAACAAATTCCTTATCATCATCATATTATACAGCAAATCTTTTACTACAAACCGATCCGAAAATTTCAACAACAACAAATAATGATAATCATGTTGAACAACAACAAACAAATCAACAACAAAAACGTACAATTCCATCATCATCAGTTTACCATGGTGGTCATCATCATCAATTTGAATTTGATTATCATACCATATATCATTCGAATGATTTATCATCAACCGTGGATAATAATAATGTAACCACCGAATTGCAACAACAATCGATTGGTAATAATAATGGTAACAAATCGACAATAAATTCACCGTTTGAAATGTCAACAACAGCATTTGTACCACCACCACCATCAGTATCGACAGCCAATTCATATAATAATTATCATCAATATCCATCATCATCAAATTCACAATTTAATAATCATTTAACTGATTTTCAGCAACAACAATCCAATAATGATCATAATATTTTAGATACAAATTGTATTATACAGGATTCTTCAAATAATCTTCGATCATCATCATCATCATCAACAAGATCTAATGGTAATAAATCCTCAAATTCAACAACAACAACGACTACTAATCAACAACGAAATAATAAGAAATCTCAAACATCTAATGATGTCGGAACAATAACAACGAAAAATTCACAATCAAAATCGAATGTTAATTCAAAAACATCATCATCGAATACATCGAAAGTTTCGAAAACAATGTCGACAGATGGCGCTTCGTCATCGTCAACAACAACAAATTCGAAAAGAAATTCGAATGAAAATTATTTTCTTATACCGGATATAATATCAACATCGACGAATAACCATAATTTAAATCAACAACAACAACAACCATTAAATTCATATAATTTGGCTAATGAACAATCCTTATCATCATCATCATCATATAATCATCGTTATCCGAATTTTTTTACCACAACATCCGCATTGTCATCATCAAATAATAATGATCAACAAAATCAACAACCACAGCAACAACAACAACAACAACAATGTTCAATCGATAATTCGGATAATGGACAAGAATCAACAACATCACAACAAGAATTGATCAGTAGTTGTTATCCGATTCTATTTCGTCCTCATCATCATCATCATCATCATAATAATCATCAACATGGTACAACGGCTACTACTACTACTACTACATCATCATCATCATCATCATATGTTCGAAGTTCATCATATTCATCGATGGCCGCCACTAATCATCAATCGCAATCCAATCATCATCAGCAATCGCAACAACAGCAACAGCCGCAACAACAATCGCAACAGCAACAACAACAGCCATTATCATCACAACATTCGAATCAACAACAGCAACAACATTCGAATACATCGATTTATTATCCAGTTGCATCATCATCATCAGCCGCATCTATTTCATCTGGATCATCATCATTAATAAACTGTGGTAATCATATACCAAATTTTAATTTATCAAATATTTTTCCAGATATAACTTCTTCTTCTTCGGCGACAAATTCGGTACCACTTCCATCATCATCATCATCAGCTGCTGCTGCTGCTTCGATTGTAAATTCATCAACATATCCATCATATATTCCAAGTTCAATACCAGCAGCAACAGATTCATCATCTAGTGGAAAATTTAATTCACGTTCATCATCATCGATATCGAATAATTTACCAAAATTTTCACATATTATACCCAGTAGTTTATCATCATCATCAACTTCGATAACAAAATCATCTGCAACAACATTATCATCATCGGTTGTAAGTGTTGAATCGATGACTTCTTCGTCTTCAGCGGCGACAAATATTGCCAGTGGTTTAATAATCGATCATTCAAATCATCATCATCAAACATCGAAAAATTATTATCAACCATCATCTGGTCATTCAAATTCATCATCAAATTCATATCATGGACATCATTTTTATCCACCACCCCCACCACCACCGTCGTCATCATCATCATCTGGTCATCATTCGAATTTTTCACAAACAACAATGTCACCATCTATTTTAACTAGACGACCATCATCATCATCATCATCATCTACTGATCAAATATCTAATGCAACAACAACAACAATGATGAATCATCATCGAAATTATCATCATTTTGTTCCACCACCACCACCGTCAGCATCAACTGCTGTTGATAATCATCATTCTCATCATCATACACATCAACCACATCATCATCCGCATCCACATCCATCGTTTGGACCATTTCCATATCCACCACCACCGCCACCAATGGTACATCATCATCCGCATCATCAAAATGATTCAACAACATTTGGACAAAATAATATTCAAACATATCCAATACAATCATCATCACAACGATCAAATCATCCAACGATAACAACATCAACGATGGGTATTGTCAATGGACAATCATCATCAACACATAATCCATATGTTTCATCATCATCATCGATGATATCTTCTGCTGCTGCTGCTGCTGTATCAACAACACCATCATCATTGGCTAGTTTTCGAAGTTCATCATCATCATCATCAACGAATATAGATAATGCATTATCATCAAGTGGTGGTGTAGTTGCACCACCACCACCACATTTATCATTTCCATTATTCAATATACATCGTAGTGATATTTGATTTTAGGAAACAAAAATTTAAATTTCTAAATTTTTTTATTTGCCTGTGATTTTCTGTATAATCAATTTTTTTTCTCACTTGTATTTAAATTCAAATAAGAATTTGCTTTTAAAATGTATTTAAAAAAAACAAAAATTCAAGTAGATTAAAAATCTTAAGATGCAAGAAAAAGGTGAAAAGGATGACCAATGGAGAAAAAAAGTCAATAATCGATAATCCACATGGTCAATGGATCAGTGAGAGAGAGAGAGAGAAGATGCGCTTAAAGATGATTATTAAACGACTACAACAACACAGGTATCATCAATTATCAAATACACACACACCAACCTTAGTGAGAAAATCGATTGATTGATCGATCAAATCGATCGATTTGATGTGATCGACACAAACACCCGATTATTATCTCTTATCATCATCATCATTATCATCATCTTGATGACCAACTATGCAGTGCGAATCAATTTCAAAAAAAAAACTTTTTTAATCGTTGAAAAAAAAGTGTTGCTGGAAAAAATTTTCAAAAAAAAATGATGATTATGACGCCTCTGTCAAACAAGGGCGTCAAAACATACACACACACACACAAACAAACAAAGGTTAAAATAGTCGATAATTATATAATCTTCAAAGTTTTTTCATCAACGAAAATTCAAAAAACCTTTAGGGTTTTTAAAACTGTAGTGTAAGATTTAGGATTTTTTTTGGATTTAAATTTAGTTTTTTTCAGTTTTGCTGTTAATCTTAATCAATCATTTTCAATCTTGTTAAGTGATTTTTTTATTCGTTAAATCTTTGAAGATTAAAAAAAGAAAAACACTGCAAAACTGACTGACTGAACAATTTGTCATGTTCGACGAATGTTGATTCAGTCAAAAATTCTTTCAAAGAAGGAAACAAACAAGGAAAAAATCATTAATCTTATTTCGATCCGATGATGTTTGAAAATTGAATTTTTTTTTCGTTTCGTTTCTTTCGATTGATTAAAATGGAAAACATTTCCAAAAAACGAAAAAAAAGGTGGAAAACATTGAAATTAAGTCGATAATTATCACTGATCAGCAGAATTTCTATTTTGATTATTTTTTTCCCGGGAAATTTCCCAAATAATTACACAAAAAAAAACCTGTAATAATTTCCGGTTTTTTCCTTCCTCCCGCACACCAGAGTCAAAATAGATTTTTTCTATTTTCATTTTCAGAAATGTCCCACACACACACACACACACACACACACACACACACACACGAACAGCAAAAAATTCTGGAAATTTTCCGTGAATTTCCCCATAAGACAAATGTTTCTATATTTAGAATCGCAATTACACACACACAGAATATTCAATGTTTATATTTATCAAAAGATTAAGATCAGGCAGATAGATGATGGAAAAATTCTGTTGAATCTATTCTTACACTATTGATATTTGGTTGTTCCAACGAAAAAGTCGATAAGTTTTCTGGAAAACCAGAAAATGTTTCCGGAAAAATGTTTCCGGAAAATTTTCTCAAATTATTCATTTCATTTCAGAATGAATGATTTTAACAATTCTCTCTCTCTTATTCGGTCGAATACGTTACATATTTAGATACCCGAAAAAAGAAACCCCAGGTATATTTATGTTAATGACAATGATAATTATGTTATTAATATCATCATCATCATTATTTTACGCTTGATGTAACCTCTGATGTGGTTATTATCACTTGATAATAATTGATGAGAACCAAACATTTGATACAAAAAAACTGGAAAAAACAGAAAATTTAAATTATTATTACAAAATAATAATGATGCTTGAATGAATTTTTTTTTCTTCTTCTTCTGATTTTGATATTCATCATTTCAAAATGATGATCATTATGGGATTCTGCAGAGAGGAAAAATGGAATACCGGTGATTTTCATTTCTCTCGTCACACTGGTTTTTTTTTTTGATTCTGGGTTTTCCTCCCCACGCCGGTTGCACTGCGGTTTTTTTTTCTCCATATCGATTTTTCGGTTAAAAAACGGTTTTTTTTTTTGGTTTTTTTTTCTTTCTTTCTCGCCAATTTGATCTTTCAAGTTTCTTGTTTTTCCTATTGTAGAATTGCATAACGATTTCATCATTAAACGGGAAAAAAAAATTTTCCTTTCTTACCCGTCATCATCGTTATCATTCGTCGGTTTTTTTCTGTTGCAACCGATTCTTATTTTTTTTTGTTGCAAACATTTTCCCATTATTATTTATCGTCGTCCTTGTTTCATTTCATTTCAAAACGCCACAGCAACAGCAACAGAATCCAAGAAACCCAAAAGTGAAAGGAAGGAAAGGAAGGAAAAAGATTCGGCGCTTTCAGGATTTATGGTTGGTTGCTGGGGGTTTACTTATTTAGTTTGGTAGATGGATATGCGCAAATCGAATGTTTGTGTGTGAAAACAACAAACAAACAAACAAAGAATCGTCCTTGTCCTCGGCAACCAGAATATTCTCTCTTTGTTTCGTTTAACCAGACTTTTAACAACAACAAAAAAAAAAGCACCAGACACCGGCATTATATTGATGAAATGATTATCATTTTTTTTTTTTTTTTTTTTGGTTCAATGAAAACAACCAGAACCAAGAAAAAAAAATGGCCGACTTTAGAATAGTGGTAGTAGCATCAGTAATAGTGATGATGATACGTTTTTTATGAAAAAGACCTTCAATATCCAACCACCCACTCACACACACACGCCACTCCCACTTTTTCCTCCAAAGATGATAATTCTTCGAACGTTGAACCAAAAAAAGATTCCTTTTTTACTCAATGTTATATATGATATGATGGATCCGCATTGGATTCTGGTGGTGGATTCTACAGAATCAATCTTTTTTTGGGTCAATTGTCATGCGTATGGATTTTTGTTTGTTTGTTTTGTTTTGTTTTTCCAGAATAATTCTTTGTTTTGTTGTTTTCGTTTTTCCTTCCACAGCTATGGTGTGTGGGCGCCGGAAACATTTTCCACGTCTAGACATTTGCCATATAACGTCGACGACGACGACGATGGTGATGATGATGAATAACCAGCAAAAAAAAAACAAAAAGATAAAGACAAAAAAGCACTTGTTCAAGGCGAAGAATCTGTTTTTTTTGCAAGAATCTTTTTTTTTTTGATAATTTGATTAGCTTTATTCAGAAAGAAAACAACAACAAAAAACAAACGAAAAAAAACAAATTGCAATTTCATCCAAAATTTTTTGTTTTCAACTATATCTACCCATACAACCAAAATATTGTTTGTGTGTGTGCATAGATAATCAATATCCATCATCGTTTGGATTATTATTGATCCAAATGATGGATATGGATAAATCGTTGTTGTTTGTTTGTCTGTCATCAATAACAGCAACAATAATTCTATAGAATTTCATTCATTGCGCCATTTTTGTTGTACAAAGTTGTAAACAGAAAACAATTTTTTTATAATTATCAACCAGGAATTATCCCAAAAAAATATTTATTTTTTATTTTCATTTGGTCAAAAAAATATCGAAAGAAATGTGTCCTTGATCATCATCATCATCATCATCAGATATCGTTGGCTACCACCACTATGGCGACTATATCGGCTAGACAAAACATACAAAAGTCGAAACAGACTTTTTTTTTTGTTCGAATATAATAAACATTCGAAATTTCGAATGTTTTTTTTTGCTGTTGTTGTTGGATTTTCGTTTTGTTGATTTTTGTTTGATTTTTTCGGATTTTTGTTTTTTTACGGATTTTTGGCTGGATTTTCCATTTAAACACAAAACAAATTTCAAAATGTTAATGATCATGATCTTCAAAAAAAGTAAAAAAAACAAAGTTTTTCTCCCCCCACCACCAGTTAATTTGTGTTATTTGTTTTGTTTTTCTGTTTGAAAAATGTGATTTGTTATTTTGTTTTTTCTTTCATTTTACCTTTCTTTCAATCAATCAATCGATCGATCGATCGATGATTGATCAATCAAAATTAATCAAAATTTAAATGTTTAATGATAATGTTGATGATTTTATCTGGTTATAACTAGTTTTTTTTTCATTTACTTTTTCATTTTTTTTCCGCTCAATTTCATTCGTAATCGTGAATTGTTGTTGTTAAACTTTGATAAATCAATCAATCAATCAATTTTCGTTGCTAAACTTGACCCAGATTTAGCAAATACAAAAAAAAAACAAGAATTTTTCTCTTTTTCTCATAACATTCGACAAATCCTAATATCGATTTTTTTAATTCTCTTTGCCATTACATTATTTTCAGCAACAGTAAAACGAAATTTCAATGACAAAAAAACAGAATGCAAAAGAGAGAAAAACAAACATTAAAAAAAAAACATTTTCCAGGAAATATTTCCGATTAAAATTTCATCGGATGCACGTTTTTTTTCAAGCAACAACAACAACAACAACAACTAAAACGATAACAACAATATTGATGATAATCGATAACGTAAACTAAAATAATGTCAACAACAACAACAACTACGTTACAAATGTTCCCTTGTAAAACAATATTTGTTTTGCATTTGGAAAAATGAATGAAATATATTTTTCCAATGAAAATTTCCAATTTCCAAGTCATCCGATGCTGATCATTATTATTATTATGATTATGATATGATAAGATTATTTTGTTCTTTGGAAAAACAAAAATTTTTTTTCATAAATTTTTGTCCACCCACGCACACACACAACAACCATCCATTTGAATTCGGACAATTTTTTTTGGATTTGAAAAAAATTTGGCACCAGGCAATAGATGGCGTTCGTAGTCATGAAAGAATAAAGATTCGAATTCTTCGTTCGAAAAAAAAAACATTCGAAATTGATTTTCGAACGAAAAAAAAAACTCAATTTTTTTTCATTTTGATTTCATCAAAAAATGTGTGACATTGATGATGATGATATCCATTTTTAATTTTGTCTGTGTGTGTGTGTGTGTGTAGGAGGTAATCTTAAAGTTTTAATAATTATTATTATATAATGATCATCGTCGTCGATTTTGTTTATTTCTTTGATTTTGTTGTTGTTGTTGTTTGCTTATAAACCATGTTTAATCAATCA